TCTGTAAGAAAAATAAAATACCTCGGAATTATATTAGACCATATCTTAAGATGGGATCAACGATCAACATATAGAATATATCTTAAAAAAACTGCGTTTTAAACAAAAAATAATATTATACAAATGTTTAGTTGAATCACATCTTAATTATGGGATAATAGGATGGGGTGGCGTATCCAAAACTTACCTTTTATCTCTTGGAATATTCCAAAAACGATTTATTTGAATCATTTTGCAGAGGGGTTATGATTGTCCAATCAATTTTTTTAATGGTGAGAGTGGTATATTTGATCCTAGACAGCCATATTTTATAAATGCAGGTTTTATCTTCAGATAAATAAGTAAACTATCTTGATAAGTAAATATAATTTTTTAGCACAGGGTTTGTTTTGTCGGAATACTAACAAACCGAAGGATAGACGAGGTGAAAGGGAGGTCGTTTAGATCACATAGGCGTATCATAAATTTATTTTAATATGATAGGAAGGGGGGGTTGGCTTAGTGGTTAAAGTCATGACTTTGAGATCGGAAGGTCTCAGGATCGAATCCCACCGTTGGCCGGGATCTTTTCATTTAATTATTTAAAATTAATTCTGATGCCTTGGTAGGATTCCCCACTCGACCATTCACTGTTGGGTTCTAATTAACAGTGCTGTTCCTAAAGTGGCGCTGGGAAACAGTAACAAAGCCTACACAGAACACGACCCAGCTAGCACATAACGTTACCAAGCCTTTCGGCGATGTTGTTTTAAGGGAACATAATAACATACCCATACAACGTAATTGCAACGTTAATGAGAAGTTGTTGAGGAAAATCAAAACCTCGCGAAACATCTATTTGTTACTTTCGTATTTAACCTGCCTGTTATGATAACACAACGTAATTAAGTAACTTGCTAAAAAAGTTTCCACGAGAAGTACTATGGACTTTCGAACGTAGCCATTCGTTTGTCATAACCAACAAAACATAAAAAAATGTCACTTGTCACTTTTTTTTGTACGTATTTTAGATTTTAAAGAAATTGGAAACTATACGTTTGAATAAGTTTGGTAAGTTGTTTTCTTCTTTTCAATAAATTTTCTAATTTTCTAATTTATTGTCTGTTGTTTTAGATGGTAAAATTTCAATTTCCAAATACAATAAAACATAAATCATTGTAAACAAGTAGATACAATTAAATGATGAAATATTTATTTTACACGATAATAGGAATCTTATTGATGCCTTAATACTATAGAAGAAACGATATTAAACAATGAAAGTATCGATATTTAGGCACTGAATTACTGAATTACCAATACTATCGCCATAGTGATACTTAGAAGCAAATATTGTATCGCTATGTGTGTGGTCAGAGATTATAAGGTTTGTTCAAATATTTGTACTGAAATATTTTAGTTTTTGCATGTGGTGAAACTTGGTAATATGATTAAGCGTTACCACTGTTTTTTTGTTATTTAATTATAAGGTAAATTGCCAGTTATTGACACTATAACTTGTACCAGGTAGAGTACCAGTAGAGAAAGAAAAGGTATCGACTACAGAATATACTTTACTGATGCACTCTTGTTATTAGTTAAGTTCCCTACTCCGTCCTGTTGAATGGGGGTTGCCAGCCGTTTAACAAAAATCTTTTACTTTTTCGATACTTTGTTACTCGAGACTTATAAATATCAATATCTTTAACATAATATCGATGCCTCTACCACAAAGTATCTCACATGATACCGGTATTGATACCTTTGACCGATACTCAACCCTACTCCCAATTATAAAAATATAAAAACAGAGAAGTCATATACTGCCATCCTAACAAGAGAAGTCCTATCTGAAAATTTATATTTATTATCTTTTAAACCTTTTTTTTGTGTAACTTTTTAACATTTTAGTACCTTTGTTGCAAATAAGACATTTCTTTTCAGTATCGAGAAAGATAAAATGTAGACAAATGCACATAAAAAAAACTGCTAATTTTGCAGATAAAACCTTTCTTGCTAGAACAGCAGTATAGAAGTGCTCATGTAGTTCACTAAAGATAAATAACATTTAAATTTATGTTTCAGTAAATTAAGTATTACCATTGCTGGACAGTAGTGACGTTTTGGTGGATAAATACAGCATTTCACTGGATATATATACCTATGCCATTTTGCTGTACGTTTGCTGCACAATACCAATTGCTGGACAAACTTTAAAAATGCTTTACAATACAGAAAAATTGCTGTAAGTATGGTCGCCCTAGTGTAATAATATTTTAATCACTAAAAATAAATTTTAAAAATATTGTGTTTTAGGTTTCCTTTGTGCTGGATTATAATTCTAGTAAAAATCTCAGGAATTTTAGAAGATAAAGTTAATACAGAATTGGTTGAAGAAGAATATATAACATCTGAGATTATTTCTTTTTCTTTCATAGCATGCTAAAAAACATTGTTCTGTATAAGTTGAACATCCATTATTAAGTATCAAATTTGTAAAAGTCAAAATAAATGTTATTATTTATTTAAAAAAACAAAGTAAGTAAAAATCAACTAAAAATAGGTGCAACGATTTAAACTAGCATATTTTTTATTTTCTTTATATATATATTATTTTCTTAATAATAATTAAACAAGTAAATTTATTATCTACAAAGTTATTTTTACGGAAGAAACTATGTAATTAAGTTCACATATTTATTTGTTTACAGTACGCTACTGATACATAAAGTTCTAAATGGTTAAAATATCAAAATAAAATAAAAAAGAAATTAATAAAATTGTCACAGTATAAAAATGAAGTCAATAGTGTAATAAAAATTAATTAATTAATTTATATAATACTTATACACTAACTCACAATTCTAATTTATTTATTACAATTTATGCGTTCAGTCCAATAATCTATACTAAACTAAACTGTGCTCCGATGAGCCTGGGCTATTTATACCAAGTCCAACTCTGCAACGAGAAGTCTCTAGACGCTCCCGAAAATTCCATCTCTGACTCAACGGCACTCTCCGCCCGTTCCAGCGGTTTCTAGAGATTCCGTCGTTTCGAGCATAAGTCTGGTGCCAAGCTGCTTTAGACAGGGTCGGCTTAGGAATTTCATGACAATAGGCTTATATTTGTTGGTTTAAAATAAACAAAAATACCCTTTCTTAAGTCTTTATTTAAATATAATACAAATTTGTCTACAATATACACGATAGATATTTTAAATGGATCGAAGATATAATACTACTATTTTATGTACTACTAATCAATAACGTGACGTAAGGTATTATGGTGCCAAGATTTTTTACTAATGGCCGACAATTGTGGAATTGTCTTTGAATGTTTGTGACTGTCGGAAATCTCTGCAAATTTATGAATTTTACCACAAAAATCTCGCGGATGATTTAAAGTTTTTTAGTAGAAACAGTGGCTAGGGCCGCCGAAAGCCATGGTGGGGCCTTGGGGAAAAACACTGGCAAGAGCCCGCTCCCTAAATATTATAACCAATTTTTTTAAAGCTGGCGAGCCCCCCTTGAGCCCGAGCCCTTGGGATTTTGTCCCCCCTGCCACTCCTCTCGACGGGCCTGACAGCGACAATAACTCCGGCTTACTCTGACCTAAATAAATTTGTTACCTGATCTAAAAATAATGCTCTTTCTATAAATGTTTGTGCAGAACCATGTATTTTATATGATCCCATAATCCTACTGTTACAGTATTAACAGCATCTACCTAGGTAGATAGTTCCTTGATAGTTATTGATCTAGGCCTTAGTTTTATTATCACAATATCTTTTAACAACCACAGGTATTACCCAATATAACCACAAAGTCGAACTTAAAACTTTAAGTCATGAATATGCCACCCGTAACAAACAAACATACGTTCCACATAATATGAAGCTATTGAACAAAAATCTTATTCCTTTTAGGTTCTAAAATGTATGACTCATTACCCTGTGATATAGAAACGAAATTAAATTTAGGCTTTTGCGCTTCGAAACACAACCGCACAGTTGACTTTTCCGCGAACTGACATTAAGTGACAGCTTTGTCGCTCGCCGAGCGGAAAAGTTGACAGCTTTGCTGCTCGCCTAGTTTAAATTAAATGCAATGTAATAATATTTCTTTTTAATAAATGATTTTGAAGTTATTTGTACGTACTTTGATGTTTTTTGAATTATTATCCAAGCTAACATTGACTTTGAATATCAACATCTTTTTTCATGATTAGCGTAGATATCGGCAACACATTATACACTACTTACGACAAATTTTTAGTTTTTATATCTATTTCTTAAAATAATGTGATCATCTTAAGCGACAAAGTATCACTTTTCGCTCTTAATACACAAATAGTTATTTTAAAAAAATGACATTTTGCGGATTTATTAACATCCTTAAAGTGTCACTTTTTACCGCATTTACTTTATGGCCTCATTTCCATGCCGTCCTCACTTACTTTACGGCCACTTTTTATAAACAGGTTTATCATACTTATGGTTAGTAATTCTGTATAAATTTTATTAGTTAACGATGGATTCTTATTCCTCAATACAAATTTAAAACAATTCTTGTATTTAATTTTCTTTTCAAAAACAAGTTTGTAATAAAAATATTGGCTCTACTTGATGAGACAGTCGCCTAAAAAATGTTGTATTCACCTCGGCTCTATGATCTTTTTTGGCCTAACAACAAATTTCTGATTCGGCCAAAAAATATCAACTTTGCGGCCTTGGTACACAATAGTAGTTTGTGCACTAAGAGTGGATATGATGGCCATATCGCACGAAGACGAAGTTTGTATTGTCTACGATATTAAAAAATAATGGATTTCATTTTTCTCTCGAAAATTGTTGAAATTTGAACACAATGTTGTATATAACTCTTATTAGTTTTGATATCAATTATCATTCACTAAATTTTTTTAAAACATTTGTTGTATACATAAGTACATGTTTCAAAATTTTCTTGGTGACGATTTGAACACTTATTTTAATAGGTTGTTAAAAGAAGAAAACATTTTTACTTACATTTTATATTTACACATCAATAAAATATAATTTATTAAAAATTATACAAATTTACATAATTATGTACAATACCATGGACTGGAAAATAACAATTTACCCAGCAAAATTTCAATTTTTGGAGAAGGCTCTTTTTCACATGTCTTATTATAAATTGTTGGCTCTACCTATATAAAGTGTATTTTTTAGTGGTATAATGAGTATACATGTCACCACCTTCCTAAGTAAAAAAATAAATAAATCACTTGCATACCCATTATTATTCATTTTTTATATCCGTACCAATTTAACACAGCACATTTTAACAAAAAATTTAAATTATTGGTCTTTGATAAGCGCAATCATCAAAATTTCAATGAAACAATAAATCTAGTTAAATTAAGTAACAATTTCAAGAGGTAGACAACTCTTTTTACACTCGGTGCAGTCCAACACTTGCTTTTGTGTCACAAACTAATATAGTTCAAACGTTCAAATCACAGGATTTCGCCTTTCCTATCTGTCTCATCATCAGGGATTTCGATCTAGGCATGCTGGTCAAGCTGTGCGTCTAAAAACATTAAACGAATTACTTCTTTTGAACTGTTTTTAGTATTTATTTTTACAAATCTATGTCTAGTGACTTCTATAAAAAAAGGAATGATCCACAATAAATGTTTCTAAAGTAGACCTTGGAAAAATTCAAGAATGTCGAATCGTTCAATTGTTCTTCGTTTTAAGTGTCAATTTGGATTTAGTTAGGCTTTCCAAACAAATGAATTGCCAGTGGGAAGGTTTGGTATATCTAACGGTTGCGACATACTGTTACGCAGGTTTTTGGTATATCAATTTATTTCATCACAACTTTTACAATGACCATCAACTGATAACATATAACGTCTATCATAAAACTGATTACTGACGTCAGGATCATCCACTTATTTAGCTTCTCGAACTTTCTCGACCTGTCCAGATTTTTCTTGACATGGAATGACATTTCTCGAATATTCCCCCTTCTTCTTTTACTCGTACTTTTAAGTATGACTACCGTAGCACGCTCCTCTATAGTTATTCGCCGCGAATAACTTGATTACTGAGACCTGATTGGAGCTAACGGGGGGATCTGGACCACGACATGGCGCTAACTTTCCAATGTGAACTACCTTGGATTTACTTCCCGCTGACAGCTGAATGCGGCAGATCAGGTCGTTGATTTTCCGTAAGGATGGCGTAGGGGCCTTCCCAGTTCCATTGCGATTTCTGACAAAGTCCTCCTCGGTGCTTGGGATTGCACAGCCATACTGGGTCGCCTCTCTCAAAATGTGTCCCTGTGGCGCACCTCTCGATTCTAGCATCTGCTTTATTTCTGTTGGCTTTCAGTCGTTCTAGAGGGAATCCGTAAACATTTGTCCTGCCATTCATATATCACATTTTTTACACCAATCCGTTACATCCCGTCGGCAATTGACGCAATAAAATCTTTCCCGAACTCGTGCCATTGTCCTTTTAGTACCAAAATGTCCTCCTGAACGGCTACCTCTGAAGCTCCTCTAACACACTTCTGAGATGTAATTTCGGCAGTATAACTTGGCAGGCTACATGTACTCCATCGAGGCTCTCCCACTTCCGATGCAATAGGCAATCGTGAAGATCGGGGAATCCTACTGAGTCCAGTACCCTTTTATAGTTCCACTGTATTTGGCTATTTCTTGCCAAGTAGGTGTGACTTTATTTTTGAGCCATTCTCGTACAACCTTTAAGTCATTGTCTTTCTTCTGCCTTTTTTTCAGACTTTCAAGGATGATGTCTTCATCGTCGCCCTTTGGCTTGATAGTGATTGCCTGAAGAGTAACTTTATCAACCGATTCCTCTCGTTCTTCGAGCCTTTTACCATACCGGCATTGTCCTTCTAAACGGGGTCGCCCGGAGAAAATGTCTGCGTTGCTATGGAGATGACCTCTACGATGTTCTACTTTCTGGTTATTGCTAGAAAGCTGGCTAGGTGTGGGTGATCGGCTTCTTCGGAACGCATAGCTGCTGTAATTATTTCTTGTTGGACTTCGTGACGGACTTCGAAAGATAGATCTATGTGACTTACTGATTCTTGATTTATAGAACGAGCCTTACTTCTGCAGGTCCTTTGAAGGTGTCCGATTCTTTTGCAATTAAAGCATCTCCTGCTTCCATTTAGGCTGTTTCGTTGCATATTTTGAAGGATATTTAAGATTTGTGAGAGTGTAGGTTGGAGAATAGTATTAGTATTCGCCTTCTCCCTTTCCTGGAATTTAGTTTCTCTCACTCTTGTGCGAGAAGATCTGGATAGGATTTTTATCGCTTCATATTCCTGGGCTGCAATCAGTTTCTCCCTCAGCGTCTGATGATGTTGTATGCTGCATTTCCACATCTTATAGTCCATCAATGAATGCCTGTGATCCGATTTGTTGTTGGAAATCTTCTTGCGCCTGTGGATATGCCAGATGAATCAATTTTCTTATGTCGGTCTCGAATTCCTGTAGACTCTCACTATGTTTCTGACTAAGAACTTTTAGCTGGCTTTGAAATACCCGTTTCAAATGCTGCTGGCCATATCTTGTCTCCAAAGCTTGGACGTGAGATGAATAACTGGGTTCTTCTTGAGAGAGCGGAGTATCAATGCTGCCGCCATCTCTTGTTCAGCCCAGCCATTCGCTCTAGCTGTAGCTTCAAATTGGGGGCGATACGATTCCCATGTTGTCTGACCGTCAAACGTGGGTGACTTAATAATCTTGTTAGTAGGGATTTGTGAAAATGGGTTTTGAATATAGCTTGGTTCGATTACTGATGAGGACGAGCTACTGTTTTCAGTTTCTCTGTTACTTATTGAAGCTAGGCTACGAATTCTTCTTTTTAACTAGTTCAGTTCTAATTTGCTTTTGAAACTCTACTCTAGCCTTTTCCTGTTGTTTTAAATTATCTCGTTTTTGTTCTAAATTAGTGTTTAAATGCACTTGCTGCTGTTCTAAATTAGCTTTTAAATACTCTTGTTGTTGCTCTAAAAGATCTACTCCATTTTTAAGCTGACCAACCTCTTGCTTGGAGGTTTCCTGGATTTGTAGCAAAACAATAATTTCTACCTCAGCTTTCATACGCCTTTCTTACTTCTCTTTGTCTTCATACTTCCTTCGCCTTTCATTTTCCTCCTTTTCTTCCTCACTGCGTCTTTCCTTCTCCTCTTTTCGCCTTACTTTTCCTCCTCTTTTTCCTTCCTGCGTCTTTCCTTCTTCTCTTCTCGCCTTACTTTTTCTCCTCTTTTTCCTTCCTACGCCTTTCCTTTCCTCTTCCATTTTCAAAAATCATGCTGGTGTGCCTGAAGTATCCATATCTGTTTCGTCCTCAGTGGATCTAGTATTTATCATGAACTTTTATTTTGTATCCCACCGCTGTCACCAATGTTACGCAGATTTTTGGTATCTTAATTTATTTCAACACAACTTTTACAATGACTATCAACTAATAACATTATTCTCGACCTGTGCAGATTTTTCTTCTTCTTCTTTTCAATTTTTGTAGGCCTCAGCTGCCACGGTTATTCGGCCTATGGTTTTAGGTTGATTGGTCTCGACGATTATTTGCAATGAGGTAGGATAACCCTACTTTATGATAGGGCTCATATGGCTTCACGTTTGAATTAAACACTGTTTTTATTACCTCACATTGATGGTTGCACTACAGTTTGATGTTGGATGCTGTTAGAAATCCAAAAATGATTTTAATATTTTCCCTGTTTAAAAGTCTGAACACTATATCGAACACTGAGAAGGGACCATATATATTTTTTGGAATCTTCAAAGATTTATGTAGAACTTCTATGTTGTGTTGATTCGTTGACTATGAGAAAAAAATATGCTGTAAGTCTTGACTTTGTCCACAATCGCACAAGTCACTGGGAATCATCTTCAGTCTATTTAGGTAGGACCTTGTTAAGCAGTGGTTTGCTCTCATTCGATATATAATGCAAATTTCTTTTTTAGATGTGTTGGTATCACATACTTTTCAAAGTATGTGGTTGGTATATTCTTTGAACCAAGGAGACTTTTTAGGGTTTTGACATGGAATGACATTTCTCGAATATTCCCCCTTCTTCTTTTACTCGTACTTTTACTTATGACGACTGCAGCACGCTGTAGGATACTGCGTAATAATACAATGAATTGTATCTACAATCATGAATAATAGATTACATTTAATTATTTTATGTCGAATACAATAAAAATAATATTTAAAAAAATAGCTTGTAAATTTTTTCTAAAATTAGCAGGGTTGGCGACTAATATTTCGAATAAAAATGCGTCCAATATCCAAGGCTATGTCGCTACCCCCTTAGATATATGAGACATTCCCACTGGGAGCTATTGTTTGACAGGTCATTGGAATGCCTAATTGAGAGCCGACAGGGCCGTGCATAGTTATCATGGATACGAATCGTATCTTTGTCTTTGTCGGTCATATGGGCTTGTTTAGAAACATTTTTTGTGGATCACTCTTTGTAATGCAACACGTGTAAAAGCTGTTAAAGGGTAAATGGTTTCTTATTTTAAGATTTTCATAGTGTTAGTACTACAATTAATTTGATAAACGCATTTGTTCAAAAGTTATTCTATAATTAATTTTCAGAATAAGATATATACGTTCTATTTTTAAGCAAATTACTTAAATAGTTAATATCAAGATCTATAAATGAAATATGCATAAAAATAACCTATTTATATTTGAACATTGCGTTTGATTTAGAAAATATAATGGATAGATAAAAATGTTATTCCATAATTTGCACACCAAGCAAAAGTTGCTGTAACTTTATTCATGCTTACTAACTCATTGGCGTAACTAGGAGTTATCTCAATATTAACAGTAATAAAAAATAAAAATAATTTTAGCCCTGATATAACTATTTTTTCCGCAGCCTACTTGTTTTGTTGATCCTTTAATATTATTATTAGAAAACACCTATGAATATTGTACGTTTGTAGCATTCATATAGACGGTTATTTCATATTTTTCTGGTGTCTAGTTTATTCTAATTATCAAATGACACCCGTAATATGGACACATGATTCCACAGTTCTAGCACCAGATTTGAAAGTGCAGTATTGACCCAAGAAGTTTTCTTCAATATCTAATGCATGTTTATGATTAAAAGCAAACCATAGTTGATGCCTTGCTTTACTTAGAAACCAGGAAAAAATTGTCAATAAAAAAATACCAGGCTCGTTCGATTTTGAAGCAATCTCTAAGGCAATCCATAGTTGATGCCTAGCATTACTTAGAAACCAGGAAAAAAGCCTCAATCGAAAAATACCAGGTTCGTTCGTTTTTGAAGCAATCTCTAAGGCCAGCCGCATATTAAAGAACAAAGCTGTTTTAGTCAAACACGTTTTTGTTTTAGACGAAAACGCTTTTGGTTCTACAAGAAATATTTTATTTTCAAGAGGGTCTAAATGTTCTGGAATGAGTTGTTACTTCAGGATGAGAATATTAATAAAAAGCAGATAATAGGCAATTGTGGGTGCATTCTGTAAATTAAAAAAAGAT